TGTGAAATGAGTGCAATTGTACGGTAGTTGGAGCATTCTTTGGCACTGCCCTTCTTTGGGATTGGGATGTAGACTGATCTTTTCCAATCCTCTGGCTACTGCTGAGTTTTTGAAACTTGCTGGCATATTGAATGTAGCACCTTAACAGCGTCTTTTTTAAAGATTTTAAATAGTTCCGCTGAAATACCATCCCCTCCACTGGCCTTGTTGTTAGCCAAGCTTTCTAAGGTGCATTTGACTTCACTCTCCAGGATATCTGGCTCAAGGTCAGCAACCACACTATCTAGGTTGTCCGGGATATCCAAATCTTTCTGGTATAATTCCTCGGTGTATTCTTGCCACCTGTTCTTGATGTCTTCTGCTTCTGTGAGGTCCGTACCATTTTTGTCCTTTATCATGTCCATCTTTGCACAAAAGATTCCTTTAATATCTCCAATTTTCTTGAAAAAGTCTCTGGTTTTTCCCCTTCTATTATTTTCCTCTATTTCTTTGCACTGTTCATTTAAGAAGGCTCTCTTGTCTCTCCTTGCTATTCTTGCTGACATTATACAAGTGAATAAATAATACAGGTATAAATATTACATAAATTATCTGCTAACAACATAGAGGAAGAAACTTGTCACCATTCAGGTTTGTTGCAAAGATGATTGCTAGCACATTTGTCATCTTCTTTTAAATATATTGTTTCTTACTGTATACAGTTGCTCATTTCAGTCTATAAATAAAGCTTTTTTTTCCTAAAGGACATCCTAGCATTCCTGTTATTCATAGGGTGCAGGAAGAATGGCAAATATTTCATATCTTGTGAGGAAGTCTTCAGCGTAACAGCCCTTAACATGTGCTTGATTAACTGCCTACACATAGCTGTGTTAGTCATATATAGCCTACCATGGGTTTTACTTGATAAATCTTTCCTGTCTAGCTTCCTGAAGCCAATGCTTACTTCGCAAAGTCTTCCCTTTGATGACTGTTTACAAGCCTGTAATTAAATGTAACATCAATCTGGCTTACCTCCATTCATCTGTGGTTAAATTGGACAAGATGTTCATATCTTCATTTTCCAAAAGATGATAAGCAGCACTTACATGATGGTTTTCAAGAACAGATCTATCATTATATAAAAGTGCAGTTTCTGATCTGGTATTAACATTAACAGAAATGGTCACGTTAGTTCCAGAATCCTAAAGCCATGGACTATACACTTTTTAAAACAAGGGTTTCAGTGACTTTTTAATTTTAAAAAAATACATTTTTAAAAAATCACTACTTTTTCCCCAGAAGTTCTCAAACTAGATTGGTGGAACTATTATCTAGCAAAAACCACCCAGGGAGGTGGTAAGCAGTGTCCCTCAGTTCACTCTACATCATGTGGCTCCACCACTCCCGGAACATTTCCTTTTCCTTCAGAGTCTTCATTAAGAAATAGCACCTCAGTTTGTGTGTTTTCAACTTCCTTCCCCATTTCTTTTCCCTTTTGTACTTAGCATGTATTTAGAAGTGGTGCTCCCTCAAGTAATGAAACAGGTCAGTTTGTCATAACACATGCTTTCCTTCACCTCTATATCATGCATTTAGTCAAGCAGCCCTTTCCTTGTTAAAACAGTTGGCTAGTGGATTTGGTCCCTGAATAGATGTCTCCCTTTGGAGAGAAATCACGCCTATACTTTTAATTCTAAGAAAACAAAACAAAAAAAGCTAGTGCTTATTAAAGACGTACATTGAGATAGGAAATAATCATAGTTCTACCTAACTAATTTGGATAGGCAGGGTTGTCCCCTCCTGTCCCCGGAACAAAGAAAGGCTTTTCTGTCCTCTCCCAGAGAGGTTCAAGAGAGAAAAGGAAGTCCCTCTCTTGGCTCTTCTCCATGTGGAGAATTGCATCTTTAGGATAAAGCTCATTTGCTGCCAGGACCTCCAACAGTTATTACTTCTCTTTCCTCAGCCTATAAGAACTTGTGTATTTTTATGGTTCCTTTTCTTTCTTCTGCAATGCCCGGCTTAGGCTCTGTCTCTGATTCTCTTTCCTCAGAAGGCCACAGCTAAACCAGTGGTTCATTCCTTAGCAATTGCTTTTCCTACCAGACCTCAAGGTGCATAGAATTTATGAAGCAAACCCACTGCCATCATACTCAAGTTTACTCTAAGACACAGGACCTGATCTCAGCTAAAAACATTCCAACCTGCTATCTTTCTATAGCAGATAAAGGCAAAATAGTCCTGCTGGCTTGTGATGAGAACAGGGCAGAAGACCTACCTTGTCTCAACATGGAAATGGTTTGTGGTGCCGGTATGTTCATAATCATGGATTAAGGTGCTGAAAATAATCGCTAGTATTTCCAGGTCAGTGAACCAATGCTAGTGAGAAGAAATAAAACTCGGTCACATTCTGTATACAGGTAATTTTTTGAAAGCAGTTAAAATGGTGATGTAGGACACTGGTTCTTAACCTTGGGTTACTCAGGAGTTGTGGACTGCAACTCCCAGAAGCCTTCACCACCAACTGTGCTGGCTGGGGTTTCTGGGAGTTGCAGTTCAAAAACATCCGAGTAACAAAGGTTAAGAACCACTGATGTAGGAGATCTGTTGCTAGGATCTCCCACAGTTAAAAGAACAGAAGCCTCCATAGTGAGGAAGGTGCAGAAGATGGGTTTCTGTTACATGTCTGGTGTTACGAATCAAACATCTTCTGTTTGAATGGCAATTTTCATGCCAGGGTCCATGAGAAATCTTGTCCACAAATCTCCTGAGTCTTACATTGAGGCTTTTTGCTTGCATCGTGCAACTGGGGACAGGATACTTCTCAGGATTCCAACTCAGCTCTTGCTAGCATAAGTAATGGTGAGGAGCTACTGAGGCTCACAGTCCAGCAGGGATGTTGGCAAGTTCTTGGGTCCAAGTTCCAAGCCCTAGGTTTCTTTAATTTCCCATCTTGATAATGTATATATCCACTAGCTAGTTGCTTGTATTATTAAGTTTTAATAACTATATTATTCTATTGTATTTTAACATTTTTTGTAAGCCGCGCCGAGTAGACTTTGTCTAGAGGGGCGGGGTATAAATCTAAATAAAGTAAAGTAAAGTAGATCTGAGTTCCTATGAAAAATAAATTCGCCCCCCCCCCAGAAAAAAGGGAGGGATGGGTGGGAGTCCTTGGGAGTCAAATATGAAAAAACATCCTGTCTCATCACCTCCTGGCAAATAGAAGGGGAAGATATGGAGGTGCTGTCAGATTTTACTTTCTTGGCTCCATGAGCACTGCAGATGGTGACAGCAGCCACGAAATTAAAAGACGCCTGCTTCTTGGGAGGAAAGCGATGACAAACCTCGACAGCATCTTAAAAAGCAGAGACATCACCTTGCCAACAAAGGTCTGCATAGTCAAAGCTATGGTTTTTCCAACAGCAATGTATGGAAGTGAGAGCTGAACCATAAAGAAGGCTGACTTCCGAAGAATTGATGCTTTTGAACCGTGGTGCTGGAGGAGACTCTAGAGAGTCCCCTGGACTGCATAGAGAACAAACCTATCCATTCTGAAGGAAATCAACTCAGTGCGCTCACTGGAAGGACAGATCCTGAAGCTAAGACTCCAATACTTTGGCCATCTCATGAGAAGAGAAAACTCCCTGGAAATGATCTTGATGTTGGGAAAGTGTGAAGGCAGGAGGAGAAGGGGATGACAGAGGATGAGTTGGAGGGATAGTGTTACCGAAGCTACCTACATGAAGTTGACCAAACCCCGGGAGGCAGTGGAAGACAGGAGGGCCTGGCGTGCTCTGGTCCATGGGGTCACGAAGCGTTGGACATGACTTAACAACTAAACAACAACAACGTTGTATGAAGAGAGTAAAGTGGATGGAGCATGCAGGCTCTGTACCAATGACAAGCAACTTGGGGAGGGGCGGACTAGTGGCAAAGGGGCTGAGGACTGCCATGCTTCTAGGCAAGATGACAGACTTCCAAGGCTGCTTGCAAACAACAACAAAAGAACACAGAAACTGGGGTTTCACATCTCATTATTAGGCATGTGCATGATGAAAATACTTGTATTTGTTTCATTCTGGGTTCTTTTGGTTGTGCCTCTCACATTCTTTGTGTTATTCCATGTACCATTCCTTTTGTTTTGTACAAAAGAAAAAGCTTATTTTGGCTCATTTGTTTTGGCTTTTCCCCTTTGTGTTCCCTGGCACTCCAAAAGCCCGTAAGAACCATCTCCAAAAAAGCAGAGAGACAAAGGGCAATCAACAGTGCATGGAAAGGACAACCATGATCTGACCTATGCAGGCACTGCTTTATGTTGTCACGTTCACACAGTGCTTTGGCGCACTGTCAGTGTTAAATTCCACTCCCACTGGGCTACCTCCATGATTTTCACAGAAGCAAACAAAACTTTTCCCCAGAATGAGTCCCAAAATACATATTTAACATAATAAATATATAGTAAATTGCCCAATTTTTTTTTAGAAAACAGAGAAAGCACCCCCACCTAACACACAGGGGGGAAAGGAACTTTAAAAATTAAATAAATAAAGCAAACACACAACCCCTCCTTCCTCAAAATCAAGAAAAGCAAGCAAGCAAATAAAGGCGAAAAAATACAATCGAGCAATCCACAACCAAAACTTCTAGAATACGGCCAGATTTCTAAAATCTGAAAATAATCCCAAAGTAGCACAGTGGGACAGGCCAGCTGCCTAGTGGCAGCAACAAAAATAATCCACAGCCGGGGAGCAAAGAGGGGAGAAGAGAAAGAATGCAAAGGTAATGAACAGAGTGGGCAGGTGGAAAGTAAAGGTTAGCAAGAGAAGAATGTAAACCATTGGCACTTGGGATGCTTTATCTTATTTTGCACAATCATCCATGATGCAGTCTTAGGCTAAAGCTCTCCTGCAGAAGGAAGGTCATGAGTAAAGATTTTGAGAATGAGATACGTGGTATCTTGTTTCAGGAAACTTCTGCAGTTTCAGTTCTTCATTCTGAGCGCACTTTTTTAAATGGACAGGATTAGGAGGTAGGTCCAGAAGGGACCTGGGACTGCAGAAACAGCAGGGGTGCATTTCCATGGGGTCTTCTGAGAAAGTTTATCGTTTTCACAATGGCAATGCAATATACCTCAACAATCCAAGATTATATTTCATGGTCATTAGCTGTATACCATTATATGAGCAAATAACTATCACGCAGCCATGACTTTTGACATATCTGTATTAAAGACGATACCTGCATCCTAAAATGCTTTTGTATCTATTTCTTAGGGCATGTCTTACCATAATTCCAGTATGAAGCAAAATGCTGTGCACAGTTTGGGTAACATCTGAGGCATGGATTGCATTGTGATACGGATTTTGGTATTTGTTGTAGCCAACTTCTAAAGCACTTGCAAATGAAATCAGACAGGGAATTGGAATCTGTGAGAGGAAAAATTAAATATAAACATGTCTGCATTAACCATTAGGAAGACCAAGCATGCCATACATCACTGACTCTGTTCAAGACTGGTTCAGGTATTAGTGATTAAAGGAGATTCTCCCCTCCCCCATGGGTATTTAGTGATGTTCCTGTGCATATGTGAGTGAGTATACACTACATGTACCAGAAGGATTCGTGTGTGTGTGAATGAGAAAGTGTTTGGATGTGTGTCTTGGTATTCCTATGTTATTTGTTTCCTTCTTATAACAGGTGGTTTTTATTCTGTTCTTCCCATTTTTTCTTTTGCAGAGGCTAGAGCCTCTGTATGTTGCCCTTCAAACCTGATGTGCCTGTTAATATAATCGTAATTATGGTTGTAACCATTTTAGTCTAGTCAAGACAATTCAGAGTTGACATGCTTTAGAAATAAACAACAACAACAACAACAACAACACACACACACACACACACACACAGAGAGAGAGAGAGAGAGAGAGAGAGAGAGAGAGAGAGAGATTAAGGTAACTGTGTTTTTCCTGACCTTGAACAGGGTCAGAAGATCATATTTACTGAACAGCTCACACATCATAAATTTCAAGCTGTGCCCTTGGCTAGCTTCATTTAAAGTAAATGTGTTGAAACCCCATTTATCGACATCCTGTTTGGTAATGAAAAAGATACAGAAATTAGCCAATCTACTTCTTAAACTGAGTTTCTAGACAATACTGAGAAACTGAAATGCAAATAGGTTTGTTCCCTAAACCTAGATTTTGTATAAAATAACAAATTTGTAATCATAAATGTAGCAATCTATTACATGTATGTACAATTAACTGGTTTTTAATCCAACCACCTTTCTTAGACTAATATGAAGAAAGTTGCCACTGGTACTCTACTGTATATCTACTGGCATGTAATAAAGCAAAGCAAAAGCAAAGTGTGCTGCTTATATACCGCCCCATAGCGCTTCAAGCACTCTCTGGACGGTTTACAAGGTAATTATGCAGGTTACACATTGCCCCCCTCCCCCAGCGAGCTGGGTACTCATTTTACCGACCTCGGAAGGATAGAAGGCTGAGTCAACCTTGAGCCGGCTACCTGGGATTTGAACCCCAGGTCGCGAGCACAGTTTTGGCTGCAGTACAACGGTTTAACCACTGCGCCACGAGGCTCTAAAGTAGGCTGTTGCCCATGAAAGTTTATGCCAAACAAAAATGTCACTCTTTTAGGTGCCAGCAGATCCTGTTTTTTTCTAATGTAAATCACAAGTTATGGCAATCAATCTTTATGAATTTGAAAACAAGTGGCATAATCTATTAATCTTTTTAAATTACCAGCAAACATAATCCTTTAAAAGTGTCACTTTTTGTGTCACTCATTTGGGATTTGCTTTCAGATAATCTAGAAATTCTCTCACCGAGCCAGTCTGAATTTTTAATGCTAATCTGAGATTGATATCCTGAGAGATAGTTCCCAGGGAACAAAATGGCACTATCATCCAAGAGTCATTAACATAGTCAAGTCTGCTGCTTTCTCAGAATGCCACATTTTAGGGTCCAGGAGCATTGTGGAGAAATTAAAATGGGCTACAGAAATCTGAATTTGCATCTAGCTGAATGGATGCTGAAAGAAGGGCTCAGCAGACATCTCAGAGCTTTGGTAGATAAATAAATAAATAAATAAAGAACTGAAATAAATTTCTTCATCGCCAACATAATGTTTTCATACACTTTGAAGATATGCATATGCTGTCCATCAGTTAATCTGAAACAATGTTCAATGGAATAATGAAAATGCAATACATTTTTGTTCTAGCTGGGATAGAAAATAAAATAAGATGGTTTTATTTTCAATGCAGCATTCATATACATATTAGTTAGATTTTATTTTACCAGCTCTTTGAAGTGGTCTTTCTGAGATACCATCAAATTCTCTTATGTTTTTATATATAAACCCAAATACTTCACCTTTAAAGATTCTATTACTTCTGATGGATAAGCCAAGCCAATTGGACTTGTAGTTGTACGGAATTTCCTGGGAAAAGAAATGAAACATTTGTGTATTTTTCATAAATCAATCTTCTCAGTCTTTCATTCACGAATAGAGTTCAAACAAAAAACAAAGATATATAATTAATAATAATGTAACAGTTGATAATAACGCTTGCAGATATAACATTAGACAGGCTTGGCAATTGTCACAAAGAGCTCCTAACAAAGGATTGTGACGCTTCTGTGGAGCTGGGGCCATTTTCATCCTCTTCCCACAGAGAGCTGAGAGGGGGTGCCCTTTCAAAAAATGGCAAAAAATGTCCTACAAATCCTTAGTTACTTCCACTTTGTAAAAATAGGCAAATCGAGGGCTGAGAGAACTTCAAAGAGCAAGACAGCTTTTTAATGGTGTCTTGGGGGTGCCAGCTGCTTTTTTTGTCTAAGAAAAAATTTAAAGCATTTTAGGGGGAGGGGATAGAAAGGATCCAGGAGTCTCCAATGGACCACTTGCATGCCATACATAGTATTTTGCTCCTCCCACCTTTTATTACAATTAGCCTACGACATCTTTCTCACTCTAATATTGGAAAAAGACCATTATCATTTATTTATGCAATGGGAGTTATAATCTCTGCATGTTTCTTAAAAAGACAGTTTATAGCCCTCCAGGCAAATATGAAGTACAAAGGGAAGAGACAAGATTGCAGCTTCAGACTGACAAGCAAGTAGTCAAGGAATAACTAATTTCTTGCAATGAGTTCAAATCACCAGGGCTGGATGAACTGCATCTCAGAACCACTATCTTATTTTCTTGAAATTATTGAGGAGGGGTGAAGCACTGGATGATTGGAGGATGTCTAATGTTGTTTCTATCTTCAAAAAGGAGAAATAGGAGGAACCTGGGAACTACAGACAAGTTCCCAGGTTCCTCCTATTTATACTTTTTGAAGGGAAAATTCTGGAGCAGATTATAAAGTGATCACTCTGCAAGCACCTTGAAAATAATGCACTAATAATTGGATTTTTCAAAAACAGATGCTACCAGACTACTCTTATCTCATTTTTTATGAGATAAAAGTTACCTCCCTTGTAGATGGTGGGAATGCTGTGGAAGTACTATATCTTGACTTCAGCAAAGCTTTTGACAAAGTGCCCTGTAATATTCTGATTAGCAAGCTGTGGGCTGGATAGAACAAATGTTAGGTGGATACACAGTTGGCTACAGAATCATATTCAGAGGGTGATGATTAATGGCTCCTTCTCAAACTGGGAAAAGTTAACCAGTGGGGAGTCACAAGACTTCTGTTAATGTAGCCTAAAATTGCCTTTGCCTTTTTTGTAGCCACATTGCACTATTGGCTCATATTCAGCTTGTGATCTACAATGACTACAAGAGCCTTCTTACTTGCAGCGAGGTACCCCCATCTTGTAACTGTGCATTTAGATTTTCCCCCAACGTGTAGAACTTTGGACGTATCCTGGTTACATTTCATTCTGCTGTTTTCAGCCTAGTGCTTAAACCCATTAAGATCTTTTTGAAGTTTGTTCCTGTCCTCCAAGGTATTAGCTGATCCACTCAATTTTATGTTTACAGATTTGATAAACATTCTCTGAACTATTTTATCCAAGTCATTAATAAAAAATGTTTGAAGAACACTGAGTCCAGGACTGAGCGTGGATCCCCACTTGTTACCTCCTCCCAGTTAGAGAAGGACCCATTATTAGCCCTTCCCTAGTTGTTGGTACGTCACCCATTTCCCAAGGTTTCAAGAAAATAATGGATAGCAGTTCTGAGAGTTCTTCAGCCAGTTCCTTCAATACTCATAGATGCAGTTCATCCAGACCTGAAGATTTGAATTAATTCAAGGTAATAAGGTATTTCTTGACTATTTGTTCATCAGTCTCCAGCTGCAATCTTGTCCCCTCCACCTGCACTTCACAATTGTCTGGAACCTCATAGTCTGTCTTTTCAGAAAAGGCTGAGCTAAGATAGGAATTCAACACTTCTGCCTTTTCTTTGTCTTCTGTTATCATTTTCCCATCTCTTTTGAGTAGCTGGGCCACTATTTCTTTTCTTCATGCATGTACATGCTTTTTTAATTGCTTTTAGTATCTCTAGCAATCTTAGCACCACTGCTTCTTTTCTTCATGCACGTACATGCTTTTTTTATTGCTTTTAGTATCTCTAGCAATCTTAGCTCATTCTGAGCTGTTGCACTTCTAATACCATCCTTGCAGTTCCTTGCTACTTGTCTGTACTCTTCCTTTGTAGCCTGGCCTTCTTTCTACTTCCTATATGTGTCCTTTTTTGTTGTTTTCAGGTCCTCTCAGAGCAGTTTGCGAAGACACACGGGTCTTTTTTGCTGCCTCCCCCCCTTTTTCTTGTTGGAATTGTGTTTTCAGGTCCTCTCTGAGCATTTTGAGAAGCCACACTGGTCTTTTTTTCCTGCCTCCCCCTTTTTTCTTGTTGGAATTGTTTGTAGTTGTCCCTTTAGAATTTCTGTTTAAGGAAGCTCCCACCCTTCTTGGACTCCTTTTCTTGTTAGGATCTCCTGCTGTGGTACCTTACTTAACCTTGTTCTAAGCTCATTAAAATTGGCTTTTAAAAAATCCAGGAAATATATGTGGCTACACTCAGCTTTGTTTTTCTTTGCAATCTAGAGTTCTAGTAGAACATGGTCACTCTCACTCAGAATTTCCCATTACTGCCACTTCCTCCACCAAATTGTCTCTTATTGGTTAGACTCTGGTGAAGGATAGCTTGTCCTCCAGTTTTTTTTCTCCACTTTTTGTAGGAGAGTATTATCAGCCACATAATCCAGGAATTTATTGGAAGGGCCATACGTGGCAGAATTTGCTTCCCAACAGTTATCAGGATAATTAAAATCTCCCATCACAACTACATTGTGTATCTTTGAAATGCTTGCAATTTGTTTCTTATAACTTTCATCTGCATCCTCTCCTTGATCGGTTGGTCGGTAGAAAGCTCCAACGACCATGTTCCTTTTGTTTTTTGTCCCAGCTATATCGATCCTCCTGTATTTCTATGCAGGAATCTGTAGTTTTGACATGTATTGCAACTCCACCTCTCGCTCTATTCTTTCTGCTTACTTTGAATAATTTATAACCATTGGTTGCTGTATTCTGTGACAGTCCTCTGTTTCGCATCCAGTCTCAGGGTGACAGTTTTCTGCCCCAGGACCAAATCGCTGCGAAGTCCTGGGCAGTTTTCCATGTTCTGTTTGCCACCACCACCTCAGTATTTGTATTCAATTTACTGAGACCCTTCACAAAATTAGGAGTTACAGTTCAGTAAAGCAATCAAGAGGATAGTACTGCACTGGAAATAGAGTGTCTGTCTCTGTGTTTGCTTGCACACTATACTTGCAAGTTTCCAAAAGTTTATTAAAATAATGCCTATAAAGAAAACTAAAAAGACAAAGCAGGTTGTTGCCAATGAAAAAGAAAAGTTCCAGGCTTACAAAAATGTGTATACAGATTCCAAAATAAGAAAGGAAAAACCTTAAAAATAACTTTAGCATAATTTTAAAAACAAGTTTCCAGGCTGCCTAAGCAAGCAATGGACTTCCCACCCCCACGCTCTGTTTCCAGCTCATCCTCCAAGTTCCCAGGGTAAAGACAAAGGACAATACATGACTCTTAGTTACTAAACAGAATGCTCATTTCACTAATTGCTTGTGATCTTCCTTTGAACCCAGCAGGGAGCAGAGAACTGATGTAACTGGAGAAACATAACAAATCCCTGAGACTTCTGCTGGTGTCCGGAGACCTGACAGCACTAATCCCAGTCTTAACTCTAAAAACTGGGATGATTAACGTATGTTGAAGGCCTTTGTTTGCTGGGCCATAAAAAGATCTTTTGAAAGACACGGTATGGCATTACCTATGGAGTAGGCCCAGTTTGGTTCAAAATGCATGTCCAGGGTATCTCTTTTTCTCCCCTTCCAACTCCATGAAACAAAACTTAATGCTAGAGTGGTGCCCAATAGGGCAGGGGAGGGGTAAGATAAAAAAGAATGGAGTCTCTTACACTTGGTAGCTCTTGCTAGTACTTGCTAGTTCAACTTGGGGCAACCTTTCTTTTGCTCCTATAGCTCTCCGTCCTTGCTGGATTGAATGATATTTCAGATAAACCCTCACCATCCATCAGAGAAACCCTCCCTTCTTTCACCTCAGCCTATGGCCAGTACATCTCTCTTTTTTACCTTTAGCTCCTGCCTTTCCATGGAAAATCTTCCTACCTTCTTGAAGGTAAAGGTAAAGCTTCCCCTTGACAGTTTTTGTCCAGTCGTGTTCTAGGGGGTGATGCTCATCCCCGTTTCCAAGGCATAGAGCCAGCACTTTGTCCGAAGAAATCTTCCGTGCTCACATGGCCAGTGCGACTTAGACACGGAACACTGTACCTTCCCACCGAGGTGGTCCCTATTTACCTACCTCGATACTGGGCGGAACACTTACTCCCAACTAGTTCTACCCGTGTCTCCCGTGCGAGCCAAGAGGTGAGGCTGAGGAGCCTGACGCCAAGGGAGGCCCGGAAAGAAAGAACTAGAAACCGGGCCTTCTCAGCAGTGGCTCCTCGTCTCTGGAATAACCTACCTCTGGAGATTCGCGCTGCACCCTTGCTGGGTGCTTTTAAGAACCAACTAAAAACATGGATGTTTAGGCAGGCCTTCCCTTCCAGTTAATTCCTGTCCTCTTTCCTTTTCTCTTTCTCTTTATTTGATTTATTTTTATTTTTCCCATCTTATAGAATCATCTAATTAATTAATTGTTATAAATTTTTTAGAACTTGTTATCATTTGTTGTAAGCCGCCTAGAGTGGTCGAAATGACTAGATAGGCGGGGTATAAATACAATAAATAAATAAATAAATAATAAATACTTGCATTTGCATGAAGGTATCCACCAATTTCTTTTCAGCTGAAAAGGGCAGGAGGTAGAATGCTTAAGATAAATAAAATAAATAAAAATCTGAGGACAAGGGAGTTCCTGCCTAACTCTCCGTTATGTTTTTGTTTGTTGTTGTTTAGTCATGTCTCTCAGCAAACTAGTTTCTGATTGGGAGGGTACGGATAGCGACAGCGACCAGCTGTTTTACACAAAAGTCTTCTTGGACCCCGAGAAGCGAGCAAGCATCAACATAACGCTGGTCGTGACAGTGTCCGACTCTTCATGACCCTCCATTATACTCTCTCCATTATACTCTCCATTATACTCTCTCCATTATACTTTCCATTATACTCCATTATACTCTCCATTATGCTCTCTCCCTTTTCTGCTGCTATTCCCATTGCCCTTGCAAACATCCTTCCCTGAACCACCCAAGAGGAACTCTACACATTTCTTGTTGACCTTTCAAGGAAACATCAACCACAGCCACTCACTGTGCGTTTTCTTAATGTTAAGCTCTATTTTACACAATCTAATGGAGACATCTAGGCAAAAGCTCTTGCAGCACTCTGGTTAGGGTAGAAGTGTGTGCAGAAGAATTTTTCAACAGACACAGCTTGCTCATCCTGCATTCTTTCAGGGACTCTAAACCTGACACATGCCATTAGTACCATTTTCTACACAGCTATTAAAGTTCAGAAGCAGTGCGCCAAATACCTGCAGCTTTTTCATAATCTGAATCTGGTTAGTTAATCCACAGTTTTGTCCCAGTGAGGCCTGCTAATGCTGCCCCCTTGTGGAATCCAGGAGGATCTAGACCCCTGCACGCTGGAAAATGACCAAAATGTACGTCAGACATGCAGATTGATTAAGAGATGTTGGTTCCATGGACTTTTAATTTACCAGCCACCTGCTGCGTAATTTAGATGATATTCTACAAACAGCCCTGCCAAGTGTTACCAAGCCTATGCTTACCTTTCTACGAAAACACCTGCCTGGACAGCATATGCAATCGTTCGGATGCCCTTTCCTTCCTCGGGTTTGTAACTGTATCCTTCTCTCTTCCTTGCAAAGGTAACAATCAACCATTCTTGTACATCCAGAGGCACAGAATCCCATTTGATGTTACTGAGCTCATCTGTTGTGCCTAAAAGGCCTCTGCAAAAAGAAATTGAAGGATGGTTTATTGCTATACACATATACACCGACAGGTACTCAGAGCACATTCCTGGGATAGCAGATGTTTTGATCATTAATTAACCTGATTGGTTAATGCAGCCCACAGGTTCAGCCACGTGCCCCCCCCATGTGGTGACAATTTCATCTGGCTAGGACAATGTTCCCATCTCTGGCTGAGCAAGAGCAACCACTACAATGTCTAACGATACATTCCTGCCCAGAAGAAATGATTCTCTACTTACAGCAGAGTAGCAGAAAGTTTCTTTTTGGCCTTTTGATCACAGGTTTTTGATTTTGCTGAACTACAATTTGTTCGGACCCCAATCTTGTCTCTTTTATCTTGTGTCATACTTGCAGCTGTTTTTGGCTATTGATCTTAAGTGTATTAATTTGCTACATTGAAGTAATAGATGTAGCTACGTTTAAATCTAAGCAAGCTAATAGAAACTCCCTATTCCTATGTGCTGATCATTCTTACAGATTACCTGTAGATGTAAGTTCAGTGGAAGAATCCAAGGGCTTTTAGAGGCATTGTGATGTCACTCTGAGGTAATGGATGGGATCTGTTGTGCAATCAGCAGCCTGCACTTCCTTTCCTACAGCTGCTACAGCTCCCTTACATCTGTTGCAAAGACCATTCAGAGGCCCTTAACCACTAGAGTTCGCCTCAGGGTTTGCCACTAGAATGACAGTGGAGACCCACACATCCCAAAAGACCCACACATCTTTACCAGGCCCTCGAACTACCTTTCCTCCTCCTCCTTGTCATTTGTGTCTACTCACCTGCCCCCATGGGTGATTCCAGATTAAGGAATCTTCTTGTGCCACCCATTCCTCGATAGCCTGCAAGTAGAATTATTGTTTGTATTCCACCTTGTGTGACCACAAAAACATCTGCTGCTTTCACACCTCGCACCAGGTTGTCCTGATGTTTCCCTGCTCAGTCCCACTCCTTTGGAATTGTACTGCCTTGCTTCTTCCACATGCCTTCATAGCCACATTCCTGCATCTCATTTAATTTGGTGTGGATTCATATCTGCTGCTGGCAATGCACATGACAGAACCCTCTTCTTGACTCAGTCCCACAATATGTCAGTGGCTTTGATTAAATTTAAAATTTTCAAGGGAAATGTTTGCATTGTTTCTAGAGGGTATAGACTTTTGAGCTCCATTGCCTAATTTTGGTTCACTAATAAATAGAAACCTGACCTGATGTATCCCACTTCCTGCTCCCTGCCCCCGCCTTCTTCTATAGCCCCAGTGTTAGTTTCCCAAACATGCTTGTTTGGTGCCACACCATCATTTCACATCCGTGGATCTTTATATTTGACCGTATGCTCAGACCCAGTTACATTTCCTTTTAAAAAATGAATGCAGCTTTCCCATTTGTTCCCTGTCAAAAAGCAGGGATAGTTTGAAAATATAGCTTGCAACTCTATCCACTACACCACAGTGGCTCTGATTAGGAAGCTGCCCTGATGTACCTTTAAGCCCATGAAGGCCAGAATATTGTTGCTCAAAAAACAGGCTTAGGCAATTGTATAAAATTATATACATTGTATACACATTACATAAAATTGTATCAAAATAAACATTGAAAGATGATTCCACAGTTGAATTTCAAATTGCACAAAAGTATTCCAACATTATTAAATTGATGATAATATAACGAACGTTACCTGCATGATGCAGGTGACAGTTGTGACTCTTCTATGAGACAGCTCCCTGGAGCAACATCAGGAGCTGACATTCAGTTTCTGTGGGTACATGAAGTTGATTTATGGGCTAAAGTATGCAGTTTTTGAGCCCATGAATTAGTTGAATTGAACATCCTTGTATCTTTTCTTCTTCTTCTTATGCAGCTTCTAAGCAAATGCATTTAATGGAGGCTGGCTGCCATTTGAGCAGTGAAACCTGCCCCCCCCCCAAAAAAAGTCTTGTTTCTGACATCACAAGTTCTGATGTGTGGGTTCTGCTGCTTGGGTTCGAAAAAATTTGTGCATCATGTCAGTTAGGAAGGGCACACAGAACAGCAAAGACCCTACATTACAGGCAAGTGACCTGTATTTGTAGTCCATGGCATTCCCTATCCAAATATTGGGAATTAGGTTGGTATATATTGTGGAAAGCAGCTCTCAGGAGTGCAGAATTTCTTCAGCGACTCTCCTCTCTGCAATCATGGGCAAAAATTGGTTCGCAACGTGTTAAGCACAGATATTGTGTAGGAGACACACACCAAGCCAAAATGTGTTTGTTTTTATTTCAATCTGTAGAAATGTCCTCGTGGCCTCCTGCCCACCTCTATTTCCAAGGTAGCACATCTCATCCTTGCCAAGGAGGCTGTGCTTCTTCCACACAGAAGAATTGCCACTTATTATTCTGCATGGGACAGAAATCTTCCTTAATGTAAAGGTTTTAAAAAAAGAAAAAGAAACCTGCAATTCCCTCAAACCATGTAAAACTCCTTTACAAGTAAAGTCTCCCCAAAGTCCTGTGTTTGGGGGGGATTGTTCTTGTTTTCATGATTTATAGGCCATAGGGACAAATGTTCATTTCTCTGAAGAGGTTGTCCTTGGTAACTCGGTAGCTTTAGCAAGGGAGGAGCCAGTTTCCATAGAGAGGGCACAGCAACAGATCGAGGGCTTCACTAACATTAGGCAACTGCCTTATTTGCAAAGCAATACAAGCTGGAGTTATGTTCTCTTCCATCTCGCGGTAATTCATTAGTTGCAGGCAGTGACTGCAGATTCCTCCCTCCCTCCCTCTCGCCCTCCATTCTTGTAAGGTCTCTCTTGTTCTTGAAAGTACTCTGAATGCTTTTTGTCCCTTTTATTTAGTAAAATGAAGAATGACAGAGCTTCATGAAGCTGTAGCTTCAGAGAATTTTGACTTGGTGGATAAAATCCTAAAGAAGGGGCTGTGTGATCCAAATAGCAGAGATATGGATTGGAGCAATAGGACACCCCTCCACTGGGCTGCAGCAAAAGGTAAAGAGCAAACAAAAAGTGATAGGGAAGGGATAGAAGTGGAATGGAAAGGGGGCAGGCGGGTAGATAGGAAACAGAGAAGGAAAGCGGGATCCACTTTGCCCCCTGAATGTGCCACTGATGAAAATCTAATGTCATTACTTTTATGTGTTCAAATGATTTCATCTAACTCCTGTTACATGCTTCCCACTTCTGCAGATATAAGCAAGCAAGCTCTGGAAAAGTCTGCCTTATCTGAATGAAAGAAAATATCAGAGGGCTATGTTTTTTATCCCTGTTTGACATTTGAAATTATACAGAGCAAAGAGCAGAATCTCACCTTTGGGCTCCACCCTGATATCAAGGCTCAAGAATCTTTTTCAGGCGAAGGGACAGATTGCTACCTGATAAACCTCTTAGGGTGTGTGTGTGTGTGTGTGTGTAGCCATACATGAGGCCAGACGAAACATGAGCATGGGGACAGATTCCAATGCAGCATGTAAAACAAACATAACAGTTCCTCATTTTGCTACCTTGCAGTGATTAATAGCATAAAGAGCTTTTCCTTTTTGCACTAGCAAAAATAAGCAGAATATAAGCAGAGTAATATAAATGTTTCATCCAATTATATTTGATCTTCCCACTGCAGTGATTCATACATGCTATAATTCCAATTTAAAAGGGATAAGATCTAGTGGAACCCTAAAGAAATAGAATTCCCCACCCCTGCTTGGTTTATTGATCAGAACTTATTTTGCTCAATACTTGTATATATAATGCATGACTTAACTAACATATCTATGCTTTGTTTGGAAAAGTCTTCTGAGAAACTAGCTTCACGCAGGAGCTTTATCTGACTAAAACTCCAATAATTATTTTATAACCTATTTAGTTTTAGAAGTAGTAAGATCCTCCTCATTGACATCCTCAGATCATGTAGCTAAAGTGACACTGTGTTGAATACATGGGGCTGAGAGTTTTAAATATCTGTATCCATCATGCCACAGTGAAGATGAAAATTGGACCATCGTCCCTCTTCAAAGCATTGAAAACTTTCTGTCTAGCAAACCATAGATGGGGTGGAAGAATGCAGCTGATTGAGGTGGACCAAGACGGACAGCCTGAAGGGAAGGGAGAATGGAATTAATAAATGGAATTAATAATGTGGCTGAAAGAGAAGGTTGGGACTTTTAGGTATTCAAAAGGTATATATTGTCATTCATCGTCTAGGAAAGCTGTTTATTGTTTCACAGAGAAACATTTGGCTCAGATCTACATGTCCGGGATTTTAATCCTTCCTGAATCCACAGTCAGTCCTGTTGTTTGATGTGATCTGGCCAGATCCAGCCTGGATCCGGAGTGACTGTAGATTCAAAAAAGATTGAAAGGGGTGGATAGATCTGCTCTTAATATGTCTCAGGAAAGGAAGGAAGAGTGAAATAAGAGCCAGTGTGATGTAATGGTTGGAGAGATGGATGAGAGTTTTGGAGCCCTGACACCTCCGTTTGGTCATGAAACTCAGTGGGTGACTTGGAGCCAGTCATGCATTTTAAACCCAAACTACTTCACAGGATTGTGGTGAGCATAGGCTAGAAAGGAGGAGAAGCACACAGGCCTCCTTCAGCTCACTGGAGGGGAAAGTGAGATAGGAATGTAACAAATAGATAAACAACCATCCTTCAGCTAGGACACTGTTTCCCAACCTTGGGTCACCCAGGTGTTCTTGGACTACAACTTCCAGAAACCCTAACCAGGACAGCTAGTGGTAAAGACTTCTGGGGACTGCCGTCCAAGAACATCTGGGTTATCCAAGATTGGGAACCACTGAGCTAGGGTACTATTTTGGTCTCCCAGGCCATTCTCCTGCTTCTTCTTCAAATAAAGGAACGTCTACAAGGTTATACTCAAAATCCTCGAAGGCAGGCTTCAGCAGTACATGGACCGAGAACTCCCAGAAGTACAAGCTGGATTCCGAAGGGGCAGAGGAACTAGAGACCAAATTGCTAACATGCGCTGGATTATGGAGAAAGACAGAGAATTCCAGAAACACATCTGTTTCTCCTCTCCTTGCACATCTTTTCTCTGTATTTATCCGGGCCCTGTGTATTTATCCGGGCCCTTATCTCCAAAGAGATTTACGGGGGTGCCGGAGACTGGGCCGAATCCGAAATCCAGACAAACCTCTGACTGCTGAGCAGAGCCCTTAGGTCTCAGCAAGGTCCTATCTAAACTTCTTCCTCAAAAGCCAATCTCCTTTATTAAGAAAGCAACACACACAGACAAATCCATGAGTTATACTCAGAATAATCTGGCTCTAAATCTTTGGTAGCAAACACACATGGCCAATTAGACATTCAGCTAGTCTGTACAAGAACCAATGCATGCAGATCAAATCATTACTGCTTTATTGAAAAGAATTGCTTTAGAAAAGGTTTCAGTTGATGGTAAAATAGTTCAGTAGGTACATTTTCATATCAAGACAAACGGAACACTCCCCTCCCCACTCCAGCTATAAAAATAAAGAAATGGAATTATGCTCACTAATAAAAAGCATAACACAGTCCATCTCACGTGTCTTGGGTCTTCACAGGCTGGCGCTAGATAAAATCCAGTTGACTTCCATCAGTCCATGGTAGGAAAAATAGTCCATAGCAAAGTTATAATCCATTATGGGAAAAAGCACGTGTCTGACCTTTCTCAGTCCAACTCCATCTTGTTCCAACTCCTTCACCAACTTCCTTCTTCTTCCCAGAATTCTTCATGAGGAACACCCCCTCCTGGGTCTTGTTGTCCCGCCTAACTTTCTCATGAGAGCTTGAGAGTTGTTATCAAGTTTTGTGGCAGAATTATTTTGACTACGAAAGTCTCTGCTCTCTACTCATCTTAGCAACGAGATAATCAGAGAGCGAAGCTTCTCTGAAACAGCATGAAAAACTTTCCTACTACAGAACAGACTTTAAATCAAGATGGATGCTATTGGGACAATCTTAGGACTACATATCCCATTCTAATACACATAAAAATACAAATCATCACACCAAGTGGGACGAACAACTCAAATAAAGCAAAGCTTAGAACAGAACTGGATTTTTGGTGCAAGACTCAGAGCTCTGTCTCAGTGGAAATTGTTTGTAAATCAAGATGTTCCCCTGGAATTTGTTTCCTTCATTTTGTCACTGCTCTCTTTCATTTGCCTTTCTAACAGGACATTCAAAGATCATAAAACTGCTTGTGGGACATGGTGCTCGCCTATGCTTGAGAACTGAAGCAGGATGGACCCCAGTTCATTTTGCTGCTGAGTCAGGAAGGCTAGGAGCATTACGAACACTCCACACTTTGCATGCTCCCATGGATGCTGCTGATCTCTATGGGGACACACCAAAGAGGATTGCAGAGATCTATGGACACAAAGACTGTGTCAGATTTTTGGAAGTGTATGTATTGGGGGAGGGGGAAAGCCTGCAAACAGATGCTGTGTGCCATAATATTTGCTTACATCACACTTAGAGTGAATTGTAGCCTTCAATAAACAATGCCACTGTGAAACAAAGTCATTAAAATAATACTGGTTGAAATAATAAAATTGGAAATTGTAAGAAATAGATTAAGAAGAGCTGATGAATCAGTCTCTAAAACCTCAGAATAAAACACAAATGCAAATACATAAGATCACTGTGTGGATTCACCTCTTCTGCACAAACATAATATTACCTAAAAGGTGTTAAGTGCCTTAGCATCCTCCAGTGAGACAGCATTTCCTGCCTCTCTAGCTCTTCCCCACTCTTCATAAGTCAAATCCAGAATCACAGCCCCTTGCTAGGATTTCTCCACCCACGAGGAAGAACTAAATCTAGTAGGGCCCCCTTATCCATGAGATCAGTATCCAGTGATTGACTTATCTATGGTCCGAAAATATTAAAAATATTAAAAGAAAAAATCCAGAAAAAACTATTTTCACATGTCTGTGAAGATTCTCAGTCATCCAGGTGTGGTTATCTGGAATCTGAGTCATTGCAACCGGATCTATTTCTTGTTAGGTTGAAACGTTTCGCTGCTCATCCAAGCAGCTTCTTCAGTCTGAAGAGAGTTGGTATGAGATCCCTGATAGATCCTCCGCCTTGGTTTTGCTTCCCCCTGGTCTGAATAGAAAAACACTCACTCAACAGGGGTGGAGGCCTTAGATACAATCTGTCTCCTATTTATCATGCTGGCCCTTCATTTGTCTCCAGATAGATCAGGACCGCAAAGACCACTGTTAATGACCATTAATGACCCATGACAATGGGTGGAGAAGGACTGCAGAAGTGGGATTTCCACTCACCCCCCTCCCTTGTCCATCTAATGAGCTTATTCAGAGCTCTGTGGGGAACCAGGCATCAATAACTCTGTTCCTGGGAGTTTAACTTTTTCATTTTTGCTACAGTTAGATAAAATATAGTGATAAAAGAGATGCCTTAAGTTGGTTTTTGAAATGAAATGGAGCCCCTTGCAGTCAGGGGTTTCCGCCAAATGGAAGATAACATGCTTTGAGAAACTGCTGCATTTTGTTGTGAGTCTGACTCTTTTTTTCTTTCATCTAGAGCTGAACAGCAGTACAGGGAATATTGCCAGATAGCAAAATTAAAAGGAGATTCGCTAGAGGAGGAAGATGAAGACTGGGAACTTAAGAAGGAAGAAGATTTGAAAAAGAAACCTTATTCTCGAAAGAAACATCCAAAAAATCTTGGGAGAAAAGATGGCATTCAAACAAGCAATTAATGGAATTGCAATAGAATATCTACTGTGAGTTGGAATTTAACTTCCTTGTTTTACTGGACTACACAAACTAATACACAAAAAGGACCAACCAACCAAGCAAAATAAGAAGCATAGCAGAAAGTACTAAAACATATCATGGCAGGAGGGTCATATCAGCAATTTTCAAAGAGGTACTGGAATAATTACATTTCAGAGGAGCGGAGTTGCTTTGTCATCCTGAATTTGAATCTGCATTGCTTATTTCCAGATAAAGCAGGTGACACAGATAGCAACCCTTCTGACTGATTGAAAAAGAGATAGCCTCAGTTTTTTTTTCAATGACTGAGGGATTATAAATATAAGACAAATTCAGTTGAGATTCAGAAATAGGAAATAAAAAAGCAATTTTGGTTATGCACAAGTTTTTTTCAATTAACAAACATTCCAATAAATATTCAATAAATACTGTACTCCTGGCCACCCAGAACCCCATGAGTTCAACACTGAAGGTGTCAAAGTGGTCTACATACCCCAAAATATTTCTAATTCAGCTTCTAGATAAGGTGGTCATAAGGACCTTTAAGGCTTATTACATATAGTACTGTATGGAAAATTTTCAACACTATGGAAGAGAACCCCGTTAGAGAGAACTGGTTTGTTTGTGTGTGTCAATCAACTGTTTATGCTTTTTAGTTATGTTTGTGGGGGCATAAGAGTTATACATGAATTTTGAATTAAACGGTGGTCCAGCACTCCTAACCCTAACATTTTTGAAGGGAGAAGTATATACAGAAAGAAGATAAACAGAGATCACAATCTCTTGTTTCAGAGGAATGGGCTGAATGGTGCGTTCAGAATGTCCACTTCTGCTTCCAAGACCACACCTGAGGTACATACAGAACTGACATGCCAATAGTCAAGGAAAAGTAGTATGCTTTGAAAAATTCAGATCTCCAGGGCTGGATGAACTGCTTCCAAGAGTACTGAAGAAACTAGCCGAAGAACTCTCAGAACCACTATCTATTATTTTCTTGAAATCAGGGAGGATGAGATGATATTGTCCCTAACTTCAAAAAAAGCAAAAAAGAGAAACCTGGGAAGTACAGATCAATCAGCCTGACCTCAATCACAGGGAAAATTTCAGAGTAGATTATGAATCAGTAATTGGAGCAGATCAGAAACCAGTCGCTCTGCAAGCACCTTGAAAACACAGAGTAATATCTAGAAGCCAACATGGGTTTTTCAAGAACAAATCCTGTCAGACTATTTTGCCTCATGTTTTGGTCAACCTCCCTGTTAGTTGTTGGGAATGCTGTTACTGTAATATATCTTGACTTCAGCAAGGATTTTAAGAAAGTGCCCAATGATAGTCTGATAAGCCAATTGACTAGGTGTGGGCTGGACAGAACAACTATGGTTTGTTATAGAATCATACTCAGAGAGTGCTTATAGTGGCTCCTTCTCAAACTCGGAGGAGATAACAAGCTGGGTACATAAAGTTATGCCTGAAGAACCATGTACAGTGGACCCTCGACTTACAGACGGCTCGACTTACAGACTTTTCAAGTTACAGATTTCTCTGGCCTCAAAATTTAGGTTCAACTTGCAGCCAGAGAATCGACCTACAGACCAGAAAAAAGCCAAAATGGAACTAAAATGGAACAAAAATGGAACAAAACAGCCGGTTACAGGATTAATCGGTTTTCAATGCATTGTAGGTCAATGGAGACTCAACCTACAGACTTTTCGACCTGCAGCCACGGTTCCAATACGGATTAATTCCGTAAGTAGAGGGTCCACTGTAGGCATTAAACTCAGGCATTCACATTGCACAATTGACCCTGTGATTTGCAATACAACTACTGTGCAACACTCCGGCAGAACTATTTTGTGAGCAGCTCTTCTGCTTCCATGTGTTTGTAGCTAACTTCAAGTTACATGGTCATAGCACTGCAATAGAATTTCAGCCAATGTATCAGCAAGAATACCTGTGGGGCTATGAATGTGTCACACTCCTCCTCATCTTCAAGTCCAATGCAATATGATGCTATCATCATTTAGAGCCTAATTTGATACCAATCAAATTGAACAATGAACCATGGAAGGAACTTTGCAATAAAACACAGTGGAGGACTAAATGTTCTATTCTGCCATTTCAGTAGCACTAAAGGGACCCAGGACTCTCAAGGCTATGCCAGCAGAGTGCAAACCCTTACAGAGTTTACCAAGCTGGCAATGCCTTGTGAATGATCTTGGCAGCAGATGGTGTGCCCACCATTTCAGGACCAGCTTAAATATGGAGAGGTTCCTCATCACCAGAAGGTTAGCTGCTAAGCAGTGAATTGCCCACCACTGCAGCTATGGATACAGCGGCAACATGGAATGGATGTGATCTGCATCTGTGGAGGAACTTTTTGACCAAAGCTGCAAAACTACCAATTCATACTTCAGCAGGATCCAGGCGATACTTGTGCCTTACACAATCATTTACATATTGAAAATAGAATTGTAAAGTAGGCATTCAAAACATTAGTTGTTATTCTATGCCAGTTGCTAATCCTATTTTAGACATTTATATAATACATGCAACAACAACAATTTGGCTTGGGCAAAGTGCAGTTCATGTTATTAATTTGGATGCTTAAAAATAAAAAAAAACAAGTGTCCCCTCCTTCTATTGACAAGCACTATTAAAATTCAAATTATGAAAAAGTGGATTTATTATTGCACATTTTCTTTGATCTCTGTGTGTGTTATCTGCTGTCAAGTCGGAACTGACAGGGTCCTGAGGGGGCTTTCAAGGTAAGTGAGATATTTAAGGAGTTGTTTTACCAGTTCCACTCTCCATATGGAGATTCAAACCCTGTTCTCCAGAGTCCTCGTCCAGCACTTTATCCAATACATCACAAAGTCAGAAATGGAAAAATAAGGAAAGTTTTAAATGGCTCAGGAGTTGACTCTTTTGCTCTCTTTTGTCGAAGCTTGCTTTTGCTTGGATTTTGCTTGGGGCTATGGGGTGGTTTCCAGAAGTCACCACAGGTTCAAGTTACACTGCAACTATCAAATACAGTAAGAGCAGAATGGCAAGGCTATTTTTTAGCCCACAGGCAAAATGCAAGCAAATCTGCCATAAATTCCAGAAATCCAATTATAGGCTACTCCTTGTCACTTAATGTTTTGCGGTTTTTCTGCACACAGGGAATGCAGTTGTACACCTAACTGAAAATCAAGTGCCAACACTGGTAAGCTTTGTGCCTTGAAAATAAAATTCCCATTGACAGAAATGGGAGCTGCCCCCATCCCCATGTTTACAGGTTAGAACGCAGCTGGAATCTGTAAGCTCCCTTTTGCAGGGTGCTATATTCAAATGAGAGTCATTGTAGAAATCATTTCTCTGCATTATTGTAATTAACCACCACAGTACAGTTTCACTCTGTGTAATAACTGGACTTTACTAGATGAATTTCTGACAGTCTACTGCTGTCACTTTAAGTGTCCATGGTGTTGAGTCTGCAGGACATTTCATACTGCTCTCTCTACATTGGTGTCAGCCATGTGAGCTCTTTCTAGCTCCCGTTCCCTTTTCAGGGTTTGGGAGGGGCTAAGGATGTGCTTACACTAGAAAGTCAGATTGGATTCATTTGGCTTTCCTGTGATTTGATTCACAACCTATATTATATTGCATGGAATTGCAGTCAGTGCTCACACATAGGATGTGGATTGATTTGTGAGTTCACTGTTCATACTGGATGCAATGTGATTCATATTCCAGCCCACAACTCCTCTTGTTTCCTTCTTTTTCCTCTGGTCCCGCTTCTGCTGATCCTTTTATGGGGCACAAATGCAGGAAATAATAATAAGGATCAAACAATCAGGTGACAGGATAATCATAAGGGTGATCAGGTGAGAGGAAAAATGTGTGTGTGTGTGTTCACTTGTGCTGACTTGTGCGCATGTGCATGTGTGTGTGAACATCACACCTCAACTGCTTAAATCATCAAAACATTGCCTACAGATATATCACTCTGTCTTTACACAAGCTTATCACAGCTAACAACATGGGCGAAAGCTTTTCTAAATTCTTCTGGCTTGAAAATATAGAAGTTCCCCAATAGCAAAGAGAAAAAAAAAACTGCTTTGGAAGCAAAAAATGCTGGACCAATTTGAATCAGCCTTTGCATCATGTGGACAGTAACACATATTTCAAATTCACCTGTTTTATAAATGGAGCAAATCCTGTGTTTTTTGACAATGTACTCACAGACTAAGACAAAGTGTTCAGACACATGCTTATTTTATAGAGTTCCTCAAAGATCTGCAACTAAAAACATGGGTTTAAACATTTTTTCTCTAAATATGCCTTTTAAGATGCATAATCTCTCAAAATGTGCAGGGCTTGTTTGGTTGCGTTTTATTTTATTAACAGGTAACATAAAAAACATATAAAATAAATAATTTCAGTTTTCTGTTATGTATTAGTTATCAATCATGGCATTTGACTATGTCTACCATTAATTAAGCATTCATCTATGTCATGATACAGAGAGTTCTTACATTTTAGTCATTTTACCTTGTATTACATACATGAAAATGAAGCAAATTTAACCCAAGCATGTTATTCCAGGTTGTGTCATATTTTCCCTTTGTAATGGAACACGCGTAGCAAAAAGAAGCCAAATCATGTCAACATCATCCTGGTTTGAATTGTCTTTCACTTGTCGCGGTGCTTCAGTCAGTCTCTTCCAAAGAGCTAGGCATCAAGCTGGTTTGTACCCGATAGTTAAGTGTAGTTATGTGGCATCTTTCCACCATTTAGCCATAACCTGCTGCGCTGCTGTGAGTCAAAATGTAGTCTGTTCTTTATGGACAAATGTACTCTTCAAACCTACAAAAAGATTCAGCACTGATCTCATTGAAATATTTGGTTAGTGGCATTCTCTGTTGTATGTGTTTAAGAATATTTTAACAAAAACCCTCAAGACACACACAGATCAAATAAATCTGTGTCAGAATCAGTGAAGGTCAAATGCTTTTAGCATTCTTGGGACTGGAAGAAATTGTGCAAATCATGCAGCCCCAAAGTAGCTTAAATTTGCCCCTACACTGATTTTGAAAGGGGTATTAAATATACCAAAATGGTCACAATCCTATTGTTGATTTACACATGCATGAATTATATGATGTAACTCACTGCAATAAATTTCTTCTGATAACAAGACACCAGTGAGACTGGCGCCTCATTAGTCAGTGGCAATTCACTGTGATGAAATAAACACATTTTAACTTCTACACAATAAGTCCAAATATTCACCAATCCCCAACACCTTCACCTTCAGTTCCGTTCGTGTCTAGACTCTTCCTGCAAAAGTAATCATACCTGTAGGAACAGTCGGAAGTATGAAAACCTGTTGGTTGTTCTGATCCACACATTGGTTTTGGAAGTGATGAATCCATAACGTATCCCTGTAACAAATGTCTCTTAGGGCCTGTCCAGACTGGCTCTTTTGAGTGGATCAGGCTACAAAGGGTCTGTTGAGGTGTGGGGGAGGAGCAATGTGCCATTTGGCAGGCTCTTTCTATCCCCACAGCAAACGGGCCCTTGTAGCCTGATCAGCTCATTTATGTGCTTTCTTTGATCCTCTGTGAAGGGTGAGGGGAAGTGAGATTATTAATTTTTTTACATCACTCCTCTCTCCCTTTTGTCAGTCCCATTTCATTTCCTCCATTCCCCCTCCATGCCTCTTTCCCCAGTTGACTCTCCCCCGCCGCCGCCTTGTAGCCACAATGGCAAATGGAAGCTGGGGCTGCTGGAGACTACTATCTCCTGGCTAAACAGGCTAAACAATGACCATGTCAAAAAGAA